GTGCAACGCAAGATCTGTGCTAACATTTTAGACCAATAAGTTTGTTGTACATTATGCATCGTCGTTACATATCTACCCTGATGCGCCCCTTGATTAAATGGGTTGTAGTTAGTGCGGCCCATTTTCCTCATGTTAGTTCACGTAATTACTAAAATGATATATAAATATTTTAGAAACTATAAAAAATACGTAAATTGTAATCACAATAATATATAAATGTTCACATAATTTTAAATATTCACATAATTATAATAATATTAAAGAAATACTAAAATGATTTCAGATTATACAAAGCATCCACATATTTAATAAATACTTTTATGTTAAAAGTCATATATTCTTAAAAATTAAATATAATTTTCTTGTTTTAAAATAATATTCCTGTGGCTCTTTTTTATAATGTTAGTCTTTTTTACGAGGCCCTTTCAAATGTGAGTTTTTTTATTTTAAATTTTTTGTACTTTTTAAAATTATTGCAATAGTACTAAAAATGAAGTTAGAATGTTCTGGTCTTATAGATAATATGCAAACAAACATACCATACTTTTAAGCATGCTAATGTAATTTTTAAAAATGTTCACGTACTCCTTTTGTTCCATAATGTAGTGCATATAGAAGAAAAAGATTTACATCTAGAATGCCAAAAATATACATTAGATTCACCATAAGTTGATGTTTATGATTTTATATATTGGATATTGTACATATAAACAGTTGGTTTTATAAACCTGGTCAAAGTATGCAAAGTTTCACTCTTCAAAAGATCTATACGCACTACATTGTGCAACAGAGGGAGTATCATTTAGACAATCATGTAAATAAAATAGTTGCCACGCTGGCCATTCTACTCATCAACACATACATATTTGTACATGATTTGAACCATATTTGGACCATGCTGCGAAGTTCTAGAACCAGTTCGGTGTATTTTTCAAGTTCAGGCACCAAAGTGAACATCCATGGTAAGTTCAAGCACCGCAAGTGTTATTACCTCTTCTTTTTATTCACTATGCTAGCTCCCTATGATTGGAGGCCTCTCATTCAATTGAGGTCACTAGCTACTTTAAAATTGGGTCACCGATTTTAACCAGATCAATAATCTGTCACTCAATTCTTTTAATTCACTATGCTCTTTAATTTTGACGCTCTTACATTCCATTGAGAAATTTAATATTATATTTAGTTCATGATTTTGACTGGGTCAGCAATTTTTCAAATCAATCAGAAGCAACCAGCTTATAAAACCATAACAATTCTGCACACCCTCTCATTACCTAGAAAAAAGAAGCGTCAACATGTGATACTGTAGCGCCAATATAGTACATGCAGCCACCGATGCAGAAAATTTCTCCACATAAGTATGAGTTGGTTAGCAGACAACACAAAATCCAATATCTTCCCCACTAATCAAACCAAATACGCCCTCTGTTCCTAAATATAAGGTGTATTAGTTTATTGAATAGTCGAATTCCTTTAACCTTGACCAAGTTCAGAGCCAAAAGTATCGACATCCAGAATATTAAATAAATACAATATAAAAGTTCTATTTAATATTATGGATATTGATATATTTCTATAGAAATGTTGTCAAACTTACAAAGCTTTGACTTAAAATAATACACCTTGTATTTTGAAATAAATGGAGTAAAAAATTAAAAATTATGACGGGTTCTCCTTGCTTTCCAAACACTCAATCACACAGGCCAACAATCGGTTTAAAGTCACAATCGATGCAACCAACTTCCCATTTTTTTTTTTTGAGACAAACCAACTTCCCATGAAGTACGTGGAGTGCGCTAAGAATGCTCTGATCATCTTGCGTGTGCTAACCACAGTACCAAATCTGATGTGATGGCAATCTGTTGTCTTCCGAAACTCCATCAGCCAAAAAGCATGAAGCAAATCTGTTGTGTTACGAAAGTCCAGC